TTAAGTTTCGTTGGGGGGTTTTTGAGTTTTGCTGTCCCGTTGAACCAACCTAACAGATTTATATATATAGATGGAGAAAAGAAGTACCCTGCCAGCCCCTCCATGCATTTATTTCCCTTCTCCCCAACTGCAGCCCCTTGCTTGAAGGAAATCTTATTTCTTTTTTTGTTAAGGATTGTACTTTAATCTACTTGCAGAGTTGTGCTTGCAATAGAATCGGCCCTCTGTATCCACAAATTCAAAAATCCACAGCTTGAAATGAGTATATATAAGGAGCGGGGGAGGAAGGGAAACCTTGATTTTGCCATTTTATATAAGAGACATCATTTTACTATACATTTGTATATCATGGGATTTGTGCATCTATGGGTTTTGGTATCCACTTTGGGTCCTGGAACCAAACCCTGGAAGATACTGAGCGCCACTGTTCTTTACTTAAGATGTTTGGGTTTTTTATGTACTTGGAACTTAAGCATGCACTAATTGTTATTGCTGTACAGTTAGTCTTCCGTATTCAAGGACTTAACCATCTGATTTTTAAAAACTATATCTATTTTATATACCTGGGGTCACGTAAAACTTTCTTGGGCAAAAAGGGGTTGCAGGCTGAAAAAGTTTTAAAAGCTCTGATCTAGCCAACTACTGTATTTATGTTTTAGGAATGCCATCCCCCAACCCGAAAAAACATAATTCCTTGAAACATTGTTGTGGCCTTGGTCTTTTAGAGATTTCTTGGCTAAGACCCTGCAATATTGGGATTGAGGGTCTATGCTTACCCACCCTCAACATATTGTATGTGGCTGTAAATAACAGAGCACAGTTCTACACTGTTATTTTTTTTCTTCAGTCAACAAATGTTAAATTTTGAACACAGGTGCATTTTCTTTTATTTAAACTTGATCGGTTTTCAAATTTAATTATTGATTTAATAGTAGTTTCTACTAAAGCCTTAATGCATTAATAAACAAAAATAATAATTACTAAAAATGTTTGCTTGCCTTTCTTGTTTTAATGTGTAGACCTCACTACTCCATTAAAAAAACGGAGATTATATCAGCTGTTGGATTCTGCCTACTCAGAAACATCTACTCCTTCACCATATGCTACACCAACCCATACTGATCTTTCAGCCTCAGATCCATTGTTGTTTACCACTCCTCCTAGAATAAAAGCAGATGACGAAAACTGTAGGAATGGCTATAAGCCCATTTACTCACCTGTTACTCCAGTAATCCCATGTGTACATGGAAATGCAATGCACTTTGAGGTGAGTTTTTATTTAGTATTCTCTTCTCAGATCTGTCAGCATACTATCAAGTAGATAGTTTAAGATTTTATCAAAAATGTTGTTTAAAATACTATTAGAACTTGGAGAGATGATGATAAAGGGGTGGGTGTTATTTCTGGTGCCTTTTGAAGGAATTGGACAAAGTCATGGAAGATGCCGCTATCCAGACTCGCTTCAGGATGTGCAGCAATACATTTCTCAGGATCAGTTTCTAGGAACTATGGCTGAAAGGCAGTATTAACCCTCAAGTCTTGCCTCCAGGTTTCCTTGGGTGCTGTCAGAAAAAAGTTGCTAGATATAGGTTGTTAAAAATTTAGGCCCAAAATTACAGAAAGTCTTATTTGTGAATTTCTCATATTTTGGTATACATAGATGTAAAGTCTTCTTCTTTGAGAAAACTTTATATCCGCACAACAGGGTTTTTCTACACACACACCATACCCCTACCTATCCAGCCCAATTCAGAGACTCTTGGACAATGTGGAAGCTATTTTAGACCTCCAACCCCCAGAAGCTCTAGCTGGTTGAGTGGTCAGGAATTCTGGGAGTTGGAGGGCTGGAGGTTGAAGAGGCCTGTTGTAGATAAAGTGGGGTGAAACAATTTGGATGTTTTCAAGCTGTCAAACACTACCTGTCTGATTCAGCAATCCAAGGCACCACATTTCTTCATGATTATACAACATTGAAATGGTATTCGTGTTTGCACATAGTGATAATCTAGAGTCCAATGAAGGGGATGATTTGCTGAAAAACAGATTATTCTGAAGTTATCTTCTAACAAAGGTGTGATGCATTCACCAACCACAAACTACAGTCTGAATCCATGGTTTTTATTATGGCCTCAGAAACTATTCTTTCTTAGAATTGTGACAAATTTTAGAGTATGTCTGAACCCAGAACCATTGCTTACCCCTTGTTTGAATACTAGTTGTCCACAAAACAATCACTGTCAAAAAGGAAAGGAGAGAAATAATAAATTGAGAGGGTTAATCATGGTTTGCAGGGTCATGTGCCATACAGTTCATGGTTTAAGCCTTAGCACAAATCATATTTTTTCATGTCCATAGGGAACCATTGTAACGTGCACATGCATAGATGTTTCCATTTATTTCTCTGTTATTTCAATGCATCTCAATGTGGGAGCTATACGTGAGCTGACCTTGCTTATACAGAGATTAGGACTAGAAATCTAACATCCATGTAAAAGGCACACTGAGTAAATGGTTGTAGAATTCCTTTATTATAATTTGAGCAGTTTCAGCCCTAAGCATTGATTAGAATTTGATTCAGGTGCAGGATGAAAATAAGATCTAATTTGAATCGTTTATATATAGCCTTTAATCTCTTTAAAATCATCAGGATTTTTTTAATTTTAATTTTTTTGGTTTGGTTGGAACAGAATATTTCTTCACCTGAGAGCTCCCCAGAAGTTGCGAGGCGAACATATAATCAGGAGGTAAGGAAAAACGTTTTGGAAAACTTTTATATCTTTGCACAGATGTTAATATTTATTTATTGGTGCAAGGACTGTGATTCAGTGGCAGAACAAATCCTTTATATAAATATGTGAATCTGTTCTAGATAAGGGTGAAAAAAAAACTGCAAATTTAAAACTATGGAGAGCGCCTGTCAGTGTGGATAGTGATAGACAACAGTTATTGGGCAGCTGGAGTTTCCTCATCTACCAAATGTTACCCATGACAAAAATTTATTATTTCACTGATATAACTTGGTCATCGGGAATAATAATCTTCTTCCAACTAAATAATCATGATCCATCATTCCCTTTTTGTGTTAAAAAGTCTTAATCTGCATACTGTCATCCTTATATAGTTAAGTATCCTGCCTCAAAACCATGTTTTCCATATATCTTGTCTTAAATTGATATCCTATGTCTTGTAACTTTCATTCCTTTTAGCCACTATTTGAATCCAGTTTCTTTATATGATTAGGCAGAGATAACACATCTCTGCCCAATCATACATTATCAAAATTAGATTATATATTAAAATACTTGGGTGGGTTCTTTAACCTCTGCAGCATCAGATACCAGCAGATAAATAATATTCAGTTAACAGAGCTTATTTGTGCATTTCATGAATCTGTGGCTTGTGTGAGCTATGGTTTGCTGCTTTAGGTGTGAATTGTCTGATACATGGCCAAACTTTTATTTTCCATTTTTGGTATGTTTCTCTCCAAACCTTTTGACAGTTCAGTTATAGTTTTAGCATGGGGAACTGGGGAAATAAGGCACGGTTGTAGGGTCAAACATAGTGATAAACTCTGCTTTAAATAAGATAGTAATAATCTGGTTGCCAGACAGGAATAATCTCTAGCTTTCAGGTGTGGTTTGTTGGGAGAGGTTTGAGATGCCACAAGCTAGAATTCCACACACTGTTGCCATTATATTTATATCCTATACTTTTCTCAGTTTGGAACTTGAAACAGCTTACAACAGTGAAAACAAATGCAGCTTAAATGTAATTAAAGTGTCACAAAATTTAAACATAACCCATTAAAGCAGAGCTTTTCAAACATTTCATATTTGTGACATGCTTTTTAAACACACATCATTTCTTGGAACAGTAACTCAGTTTATTAGCAAACCAATGCTTTATAAGCGACACACACACACAAATTGTAATAACAATATGTATGGGGACACAACAACATATTTCATTTTTAAAAAAATAATCTTTATTGATTTTTCATAAAACATATAGAGTAAAAGAAAGAGAGAACACTGAGCGGGGAAAGTATAAGGATAAAAAGAAAAAGAAGAGAGGGGATAGCAGAATAGTTAGGGTGAAAAAGTATCTGATTTTTCCTATCTGAATGTTCCTTTTAAACCAGTACTCAGAGCCGCCTTATTCCAGTGGCTGCTGGAGTCATCTTGGGTGCATAGTGTAGAAATAGAAATAAAACAACAACATATTTCATGAAAACTTTTTATTTATATTTTTATAAAATGTATGATTTACTAGCTGTCCCCTGCCACGCGTTGCTGTGGCCCAGTCTGTTGATCTGGAAAATAAAGTAATGAGAAAGTGTTGGTTTCTAATATATGTAATTTCTTTATGCTTGTGGGTAAACAGTATTTCTTGCTGTTTCTTTGTCAGTGTTGATGTGGAGAGTGTCTGGTTTGCCCACCCTGGAACATGCAACATATCATTGTCCTTCTTTAAGGGTTCCTTTCAAATCTATGATACTTTATCTGTGTGTGTGTGTGAATCATATCTATCTATATCTATCTATGGCTGGATAGTTCTTTGTCAGGAGGACTTTGATTACGTTTTCTTGCCCTGATGAAGGGAGTGGGATTGGATGGCCTTAAGTATTTTCTGTTGGTCATGGGGGTTCTGTGTGGGAAGTTTGCCCCGATTCTGTCGTTCATGGGGTTCAGAATGCTCTTTGATTGTAGGTGAACTGTGAATCCCAGTGACTACAACTCCCAAATGTCAAGGTCTATTTCCCCCAAACTCCATCTGTGTTCATATTTGGGCTTATTGAGTCTTTGTGCCAAGTTTGGTCCAGATCCATCATTGTTTGAGTCCACAGTGCTCTCTGGATGTAGGTGAACTACAACTCCAAAACTCAAGGTCAATGCCCACCAAACCCTTCCAGTATTTTCTGTTGGTCATGGGAGTTCTGTGTGCCAAGTTTGGTTCAATTCCATCATTGGTGGAGTTCAGAATGCTCTTTGATTGTAGTTAAACTATTTTTTTTTTGTCGTGTCAGGAGCGACTTGAGAAACTGCAAGTCGCTTCTGGTGTGAGAGAATTGGCCGTCTGCAAGGACGTTGCCCAGGGGACACCCGGATGATTTGATGTTTTATCATCCTTGTGGGAGGCTTCTCTCATGTCCCTGCATGAGTAGCTGGAGCTGATAGAGGGAGCTCATCCGCCTCTCCCCATATTCGCCAAGTGAAGTGAAGTTCATGCATACATACATCCTGTATACCTGCGACCTATCAGTCTTCAGTCCTGGTTTAACCCACTGCGCCACCGCAGTGGATTTATAGTTGAACTATAAATCCCAGCAACTACTACTTCCAAATGACAAAATCATATTTTTTTGATGGTCAATCCTTGTGTTGTGAGATGTTTTGTTGCCAAATTTGGTGTGATTTCGTTCATTGGTTCTTTTGCACAGAGCATTTTTTTATATATAGATTGCTTATTTCATATAGACTTGAAGGTTTCTCCTTGTGTTCACACAATGCCCCACACTGTAACTGACACACTAATATGACGTGACATACAGTTTGGAAAAGCTCTACATTAAGGGGAAAAGAGAAACTCTGATTGTCAGGGGTGAATACTATTCTGTTGTGGTGTTGTTTTCTTTCAGTTTGCCCAATTACTGTTACAATTCTTGATTCTCTCCTTTGTGTAGGGATATGACCGGTCATCCTCGGCAGTGCTGACACTCAACCCTTTCAGAAATTCCAATCTTACAGAAATGTGTCTGCAAGAAATAAAGACTATTGGCTATTCCAGTCCGAGGAGCAGAACTGACGGCAGCAGACAGGGCTCTGCAGAAAAAGAAGCCACCTCAGAGCTCCAGTTGGGACTCGAAGCCGTTGAGCAAAGTGCACTGCATAAACCCCTAGAGCCCCCCGGAACAGAGGCCAACAGCCAACTGGAAACAGCACACTGTGGGCGAGGGACAGTATATCCTACCTGGGTAAAGAGTCCCGACAGGACAGGTGTCAATTTCTCTATGAATTCTAATCTGAGGGACTTAACTCCTTCGCACCAATTGGAGGTAGGAGGCGGATTCCGAATAAACGAGTCAAAGTGCCTGATTCCAGACGATGCAAGAGGCATGTTCATGGAAACGCCTGTTTTTTGTACTTCTGAAGAAGGACTTGCGGCTGGCTTTGGGAGGTCTCTCAATGGTGACATCTTGATGGATGGAAATTGCACACCCCAAAATCCTCCACAAAAGAAAAAGGTTACTATTTTAAGTATAACTCATTTGTATATTTTCCTTGTGAAAAACGCTAGTAATGCAGTTCCATAACCATACACTTTTTAGAAGTTTGTGTTGCCAATGACTTAGGCCTCAGACTCTTGAGCAGATGACTCATTTTCTCTGGGGTCCAAGAGACACGCAGTTACCTGAATCTGTCCCTGGACCAGGGATGAAATGGCAACTTGGGATCTGATTGAATTTAGACGGACCAGCATAGAATCATAGAATAGAGTTGGAAGGAGTCCACATGGGCATATAGACCAACCCCCTGCCATACAGGAAAAGCACAATCAAAGTCCCCTGACAGATGGCCATCCAGCCTCTGTTTAAAAACTTCCAAGGAAGGAGGTTCCACCACAATCCGAGGCAGAGACTTCCACTGCTGAATAGCTCTTAAAACACTCCTCTTAAGGCATCCAGACCTCTGATCTTTTTTGTTGCCCTCTTCTGGACACCATCCAGCTTATCAATATCTCTTTTAAACTGTAGTGGCCAGAATTGGACACCGTATTCCAGGTGAGGTCTAACCAAAGCAGAATAGAGAGGCACCACGACTTCCCCAAATCTAGACAGTATACTCCTTTTGATGCAGCCCAAAATCCCATTGGCTTTCTAAAATGCTGCATCACACTGTTGACTCATGTTCAACTTGTTGTCCACAAAGACTCCAAGATCTTTTTCACATGGACTGTTGTTGAGCCATGCATCACCCATTCTGTTTTTGCATTTCATTTTTTTTCTGCCTAAATCTGCATTTGTCCTTGCTCAACTTCATTTTGTTAGTTTTGGCCCATCTCTCTAATCTGTTCAGATCATTTTTAATTCTGCTCCTGATTTCTATAGTATTAGCTATCCCTCCCCAATTTGGTGTCGATTGCAAACTTGGTGATCATGCCTTCTAACCCTTCATCCAAGTCATTAATAAATATATCGATCGGTACTGGGCCCAGGATGGAACCCTGTGGTACTCCACTAGTCACTTGTTTCCAGGATGAAGTGGAACCATTGGCGAGCACCCTTTTGGTTCCGTTGCTTAACCAATTACAGATCCACATAATAATAGCGTTCCCTAGCCCACATTTGACTAGTTTGCTTTCAAGACGGTCATGTGTCTCTCGGTTTAGAAAAGCTAATACTCAGGCTAGTCTTTTGATTAGGCTGATCATTTAAAGCAGGAATAGGTCATTTACTGGGGCTGGGGGTGGAATGTTTGAACTGGATCAGGAGAATGTTTGAACTTGAATCAGGAGCCATAGCACAGCTGAGGCTTGTGTCACCCCCTCCCTGATTTTCATTAGCAGTAATGAACTGCAGCAAGGCCACAATGCCAGCACCACAGAGGCTGTTTTTTTTTTTTGGGGGGGGGGGGGATGCAAGCTACATGTTACTGGTTCAGTTGTTGTTGTTATTCATTTGTTCAGTCATTTCCGACTCTGTGACCTCATGGACCACCCCATGCCAGAGCTCCTTGTCGGTCGTCACCATCCCAGCTCCTTCAAGGTCAATCCAGTCACTTCAAGGATACCATCCATCCATCTTGCCCTTGGTCAGCCCCTCTTCCTTTTTCCATTTTCCCCAGCATAATTGTCTTCTCTAAGCTTTCCTTTCTTCTCATGATGCGGCCAAAGTATTTCATCTTGGCCTCTACTATTCTTCCCTCCAATGAGTAGTCGGGCTTTATTTCCTGAAGTATGGACTTGTTGGATCTTCTTGTGGTCCAAGGCACTCTCAGAACTTTCCTGCAAYACCACAGTTCAAAAGCATTTATCTTCCTTCGCTCAGCCTTSCCTATGGTCCAGCTCTCACATCCATGGGTGACTACAGGGAATACCATTGCTTTGACTATGGGGATCTTTGTTGCCAGTCTTCACTATTTTATCAAGATTGGTCATTGCTCTYCTCCCAAGAAGTAAGCRTCTCCTRATTTCCWGGCTGCAGTCTGCGTCTGCAGTAATCTTTGCACCTAGAAATACAAAGTCTGTCACTGCCTCCACGTTTTCTCCCTCTGTTTCCCAGTTGTCAATAATTCTTGTTGCCATAATCTTGGTTTTTTTGATGTTTAACTGCAACCCAGCTTTTGCACTTTCTTCTTTCACCTTGATTAGAAGGCTCCTTGGCTCCTCCTCATTTTCGGCCATCAAAGTGGTGTCATCTGCATATCTAAGGTTTTTAAYGTTTCTTCCAGCAATTTTCACCCCAGCCTTGCATTTCTCAGGCCCCGCTGGTCCAGTACTCCCATCTTATAGAAAGAATTTCCCCCTCTAGCTTCAAGGACCCAACTAACATTCTGTGTTCTGGCCGCATTTTCTCCTGATGCTTTGCCTGCATCTGTGGTTGGCATCCTCAGAGGATCATACTGTAATTTGTTGACTGTTTGAGGGTATTTTTCCATTTAGTAAATAGGAAATGCTTCCTATAGCTGATAACTTCCCCACAAAAAAGACTTTTAAGATTTTCAGAGAGATTAAAAATAACTTCTCAGGAGTATCTGTCACTGAAGTAAGAATTATTAGAGTGATTTGAAGTATCTGATAACTTGAACAGTGCTTAAGCTGAAGGAGTGTTGATTTACTCAGGGCCTGAATGGAAGGTCTCCTGCAAGCTGCTTTGAGCATTTCCAAAGAAATGTGTGATCGTAGTAACAATATAATAGCTAGTCGCTCTCATTTCTTTTCCACGGCAACTTCATTTCTCACTGCAGCTGGCTGTTCCCCTCGAAAAGCTGTTTGTGAAGGTTGGAAAAACCTCTGCATCCTGCCGTGAGAAGGAAGAATGAATGGAGGGGGGGGACGACACTCTCCTTCCCTGCCCCCTTGTACACATCAAAATGACTTATGCTTGCACAAGAGCAAATGTAGGTTAGATACACGGCTTTACAAAAAGTAGAAAGTCAGTTACTCTGGGTTAAAGGAAGCCAACAAAGTTATGCCAGATACTGTAGAAGAAACATATGGGCATCTAGCTCAGATTGTGAATTATAGCCTAAACAATGTCAACACAAATCAGTGAAATCTATTAACTTTTAAAAGGCAAAATATTGCTGTTACCCCATGTAATTTGAATTGCAGACTCCCAAACTGAAATAGCTTAGGCTGTTAGAAGATCATTCTAGGTAGTTTCCTTTATGACCATGGCATTGGGATGGGTTGAGAGGCATCGTTTTGTTCTTAAAAGGCGTCTTCAGCTCATGTAAGCATTGCTCCAAGTCTCCCAAACTGTTACCAGAATTTGGAGTAAGAAAAATAAATAGTACTTCGTCCTCTTCTATCCATAGGTGTCACTTCTAGAATATCGCAAGAGACAACGAGAAGCCAGAAAAAGTGGCTCTAAGGCAGAAAGTTTCCCCCTTCTTTCCATATCGCCACACGCTGCTAGTGGAGGAAATAGTGCTGCCACCGATGGATATAACAGCAGTGAGAATGGGGAACAAGTGGAGAAGGAACATCCTGCAAGCCTCCCATTGCCGTTGCCAGTTGCAGAGTGCAGCGCCACTTCAGAGGAAACGGAAAACACCTCGTCCTCAAAAGAGGTTTCAAGTGAAAAGAATGATCCAGAGGTTCAGTGGTAAGCTTTGTTTTAAATAAGAATATATGCTGAATAATTATAGGTGTTTGGTTTCAAAACAATTGAATTCTAATAGTGCCCGTTAGCCATTCAGCTGGTTAATTTGCAAGTACATCAGTCTGACATTTTTAAAAGAAGTCTTGTTGTATATAATGAACACATAAGAAGAGTACGAGTGCTTTGAGCAGCCTTCTGTTTTGAAATTTCTTGATCCCTAATTCCCTTAGTAGTGTGTAATTTTAGTCACTTACATGGCCTATGTATGAGATCATGCACCCCAAACAAAAGCTTTGTTCAGTTTTTTGACTAGCTCCAGTTTAGACACACAGTAGCTTTAAAAGAAGGCTCTATAGTGAGTTTAACCACTAGCATGCCAATGTCCATGAAACGCTTATGGTTCAAAAACCGCTCCTATGGAATTAATAAGAAACATGCAAGCTGGAAATTCCTAGCATGTTGCGTTGTCAAAGGCTTTTAAGGCCAGAATAACTGGGTTGCTGTGAGTTTTCTGGCCATGTTCTAGTAGCATTCTCTTCTGATGTTTCACCTGCATCTGTGGCTGGCATCTTCAGATTACAGGTGAAACGTCAGGAGAGAATGCTACTGGAACATTCTCCAAAAAAAAAACTCACACCAGCTTCATAGCATGTTGTTAGAATACGTTAATACCAGGACTTCCAAAATTGTCACTTCTTGTACTTAATAGTGGGGATTTATTTATTTATTTAAAACATTTATATTCCGCCCTTCTCACCCCGAAGGGGACTTGGGGCTGAGCACAGTATATATACGGCAAATATTCAATGCCGGGACACAAATTCTTATATACATACATAAACATTAAAACACATTTATCAAAATATTAAAATACACCATTTAAAACCGTCCTAGTCATCCACATCAAATCTAATTGGCCTGGTAATCTTTCCTATTGCTGCTTTATTGCCCTGTCCCGAAAGCTTGGTCCCACAGCCAAGTTTTTACCATCCTTCTAAAGGACAGGAGAGAGGGGGCCGACCTGATCTCACCAGGAAGGGAGTTCCATAGCTGGGGAGCAATCACCAAAAAGGCCCTGTCTCTCGTCTCCACCAATCGTGGCTGTGACAATGGCGGGCCGGAAAGCAGGGCCTCCCCGAGGATCTCTCCGTGATGGTTCATAGGGAGAGATGCGTTCAGAAAGGTATATCTGTTGATGTTACTCATAAAATAGAACATGGCCATACAGTCCAAAAAACTCACAGCAGCTTCATAGCGTGTTGTTAGAATACACTAATATCAGGACTTCCAAAATTGCCACTTGTACTTAATAATGGGGAGATATATCTGTTGGTGTTACTCATAAAATAAAATCACTGATCCCTGAATACTCATTGGCTTCTAGGGAAATTCTGTTTCCTTAGCGCTAGAGAAAAAGTCTTATCTCCAAAATATGTATAAATTCGTTGGATACCACATCTTCTTCATGAATAATGTTTTAAAATTCTGCTGTTGGTAATCAATATGGATCTACAAAAGTATTAAGAGAAACTGAAATTCAAGTCAGTCCACCAGAGCTTCCGTTGTTCATATTTCACCATCAGCAAGCAAAGCAAAAACTGGAAATACTATGAATCCTTCTTAGAAGCTGGGATTGAACTCAAGAAACAAACTCCCTTAAACATACAGTATAATCCAATAACCCTGTATTTTATCCATTGAATTTAGCATTTACATTTTATATTTAAAAAACAAACGCTTGCAACTTACCTTGCCAGTTTGGATCACAGGAGAGAATTGTCTTCTACATATTACTGAACTGAGGTTGCGTGTTCATTTTTGATTGAAAAGAGAACACTGAAGCTACTCATTTTTTGGTTTTGTTTTAAAGGACTGCTTCAACATCTGTGGAGCAAGTGAGGGAGCGAAGTTACCAGCGAGCTTTGCTTCTTAGTGATCATAGGAAAGACAAGGATTCTGGTAAGCAATCACTTCCTCGACATCAGCTTCTCGCGGTTCAGGGATTGTGCATGTTCCTCTGCCTCACTTTAGCTTGAGCTGAAGACATTGGTAGCAGTTGTTCAGCACCCAGTCTTTAGTATTCATGTCTTTTTAATACAATAGTTGTTGTTTCTTATACTTTCTGATTAAAATCTTAAAATATAAGTACTGTATATTCTGGCGTATAAGACTACTTTTTAACCCAAGAAAATCTCAAAAGTCAGTGGTCGTCTTATATGCAGGAGTCGTTTTATACGCTGGAGTAGCCTTATGCATGGGAGTCGTCTTACAGAGCAGGCGATGAAACTTCCAATCCGGATTGGATAATCTATGGTTGCTGCGTATTGTGGAGGGAGCTCAAAAATGGCAGTGGCGGCATCCCTGCCATAGGCAGCGATTGTATGAAAACATTAAGGGCGACGCTATACAAGTACAGTAGAAGAAAATCCATTCATCAGGATTCGTGGACTTAATGCAGTCCCGATGGTGAGGTGAAGGGGCACCTCACCGGGAAGGTCTAAGTCAGTGGTTCTCAACCTGGGGTCCCCAGATATTTTTGGCCTTCAACTCCCAGAAATCCTAACAGCTGGTAAACTGGCTGGGATTTCTGGGAGTTGTAGGCCAAAAACATCTGGGGACCCCAGGTTGAGAACCACTGGTCTAAGTGAAGGGTGGAGCAAGCTGAAGGTGTCCGGGGCACCCGGGGTATGGAAAAAAAGAGATAGAGTGGCTCTGGGCCCAGAAAAACACATCTCTTTTACCTGTCTGGGCCACCCTTGTATCCTATTGCCGTACCTCCTCCTCTACCTCTCAGATCTCGCTCCTGAAGACTGCCGTGAAGTGCAGAGGCGCATATGCAAGATCTGAGAGGCAGAGAAGGAGGTACAATAATAGGAAAATTACCATATTGAAATAAAATCTGATGCTTTTAAAAATTTTATTTGGTGAGTGTTGGAAAAGGTGTAGTCTTATACAGCAAGTATATCCCAAATTCTATATTTTAACTGGAAAGGTTGGGGGTCATCTTATATTCCGGAATATATGGTAATTGTGGGTCATTCAGAGTGTCGACAGATTGTCATTCTTATTCCAGATCCTGATCCTGAAAATTCTGAGCCCACAAGTGAATGTCCGTCCCCAGATACTTCTCTGAAGACTTGCAAGAGTCCTTCAAAAGGAAGCAAGGTACTACTATGATATAACTATACTATCATGATACTTGTAAGTGTATGTGCATGGCTGGAACCTCCGTAAAGAAAGGTTCCCTCTTCCTGTTGCAGATTGAAATAGATGTTCTAAATTTAGATAGGATTATGGGGAGGTGCAGTATAGCTTGAAACATCTGATAAAGAGGCAAACTAGCACCATTGCCCTGGATGGTCTGACTGCCCAGCGGCAATTGGGGAGGTGGGGTGAGATCCTTCTAATGCAGCTGATCCTTAAGACCAACGCTGAATTCGAAAAGTTACAATCCTGCATATATAAGCCTAGATCTTGAAAACAACAAGCTTAACTGCAGTTATACTCTATTTAAGTTTTATCTGGAAAGGTTCACATATAGTGACTCTGTAACCAGGCATGGGCAAACTCTGGCCCTCCAGGTATTTTGGACTTTGACTCCCATAATTCCTAACAGCCAGTAGGCTTGAAGCCGAAGTCCAAAACACCTGGAGGGCCAAAGTTTGCCCATGCCTGCTGTATAAGTAAAAGTTGGATGATATTATTCACCTCAGATTGAGGAGTAGCAGCACAAGAATGATTCCAAGCCAACCAAACAAGTCACTTGTTAAGCTCTACTTAAACGCATTGGGGCCTAACGGTTTTTCTGACAAATTTGACTCCATGGTTTCTGTCTGTTATTCTCAAAAAGTGGAAATAATGCAGTGCTTAATATAATCCACATTATATTAAGGCTAAAATTAATTGTAACATTATTTGATATGTTCTGAAGGGAACTGATAAACTATGCCTCACTAGGCACTATTATTATTGTTGTTGTTATTATTATTATTATTACTATTACTATTTTCATCATCATCATGGAGCCCCCGGTGGCACAGTGGGTTAAACCCCTGCACCGGCAGAACTGAAGACCGACAGGTTGCAGGTTCGAATTTGAGGAGAGCACGGATGAGCTCCCTCTATCAGCTCCAGTTGCTCATGCGGGGACATGAGAGAAGCCTCCCACAAGGATGATAAAACATCTAGTCGTCCCCTGGGCAATGTCCTTGCAGATGGCCAATTCTCTCACACCAGAAGCGACTTGCAGTTTCTCAAGTAGCTCCTGGCACGACAAAAAAAAATAATCATGTTTTTACTCCTTTTCTCTCCACAAGGAGACTCAGTAGTTGCATAGCTTACCATATATACTCATGTAGAAGTTGATCTCATGTAGAAGTCAAAACCAGGTTCTGGAGCCATAGTTATGGGTTTTGATATGATCCGTGGGTAAGTTGAGGATCATTCCACAGAGAGGGCAAAGCACCAATGCCTCCCCGGGGGGGGGGGGGGCAATCACAATTTCCCCACCCAGTTTTTCAGGAAGGCCAGAAATAGCATCACAGAGGGTGTTAGTGTTGCTCCTTTTAGATTCTCCCATGATGGACGAAGCTACCTTCTTTCACCACTGTACTCAAAGAAGGAATTTGTTCCTTTTAAAGTAAGAGTTAGAGTACAGTAGTCATACTGACTCATGGATAAGTCAACCCAGGATTTGGGGGTTGGTGCTCTGGCTTATACTTTAGTACAGTGGTCCTCAAACTTTTTAAAGAGAGGGCCAGGTCACAGTCCTTCAAACTGCTGGAGGGCCGGATTATAATTTGAAAAAAAAAAACATGAATGAATTCCTATGCACATTGCACATATCTTATTTGTAGTGCAAAAAACACTTTAAAACAATACAATAATTAAAATGAAGAATAATTTTAACGAATATAAACTTATTAGTATTTCAATGGGAAGTGTGGGCCTGCTTTTGGCTGATGAGATAGGATTGTTGTTGTTGTGTGCTTCCAAGTCGTTTCAGACTTAGCAAGGGCTGGGTACATGACCTTGGAGGGCTGTATCCGGCCCCCGGGCCTTAGTTTGAGGACCCCTAGTTTAGTATATAAGATAAATATTTCATATATTTTATTTAAAAATCAGCAAGATACCTGAAACTTGGTTATAAAAGCTGAAGAACTGTAAATGGTGACCTAAACATATGAGCAATTTGATGCTGTGAGGCAGAAGTGTCCCTGTTCATTTTGACAAGCAATTTGTAATAAAATTGAGTTTTCTTAGATTAGCAAAGTCACACAAATAGAACATGTAGAAAGCAGGATTATTAGAGATATCCTTAAACAGGACACATATTGACTGTTCATTTTCTTAATGTAGACTTCTTCACTGAGTCCTGTAGTTCCTGCTCAGTCACTTGGGAAGACGCCCACAAAACAGGATTCCCAGTGGGAGACTGCAGCTGACGCCCCAGAGGCTGAGAGCACAGCTCATTTAAAGTGTGACCAGCAACCGAAGCCGGTGACAAATAACACTGAAGCACTTTCGAAAAACCATCAGTCCCAGCCTCACTTGCGCAATGCAACTGATCAACCTGCGCAGAAACTCCCTTCTGCCCCCTTGAAGCTGCACTGTCCTCCTTCCCCTCACATAGAGAATCCCCCCAAATCCTCTACGCCACACACCCCTGTACAGCACGGCTACCTTTCACCAAAGCCTCATTCACAGCCATTAGGATCGCCATACAGACCTCATCATCCTCAGTCATCACCTCAAGTGGGGACACCTCAGAGAGACTCTCACCGAAGTTTCTATGCGGGAGCACAGAACCTCCAGCCTAGCCAACAGCAGCCCAGCGGGACACTCTTTCCCCAAACATCGTCGGTCTCCTACAATCAGTTCCACCAACAAAACCTGAACACTAGTGTCCCGCCTCCACCCCCACCTCCTCCCCCTTCAAGCTCCACGTACTATCAAAACCAGCAACCCCCCTCAGGAAACTTTCAAAATTACAATCAGTTAAAAAGTAGCATACCACCCCAACAAACTGTATTTCCCTCTGGACCAAATCAAGCACTTGCTGGTACAACATGCCAGCAGCCTGTTTCGGGACATCATGTCACCAGTGGGCATTTTTTGCCGTCTCAGACTCCCAGTCTCCATCACCAGACTTCCACCAGTGCTCCACCGCCCCCACCTCCGCCTCCTGCTCCAGGACCACACCTTGTGCAGCAGCAGCAAAGTACTCATCAGCAGCACGCAGTGGCCCACGTCGTAGGTCCCGTGCATGCAGTAGCAGTGGCTCCCGGGTCACACATCCATACTCAAGCTGCCGGGCATCACCTGCCGCCACCACCGCCTCCTCCCCACCATCCTACTCACCCCACAACAAACCACCAAGGTTTGCAAGCACAACACCAGCATGTCGTAAATTCAGCACCGCCACCTCCACCGCCACCCCCCTCCAGCGTGTTAAGCTCTGGGCATCACACCACCTCAGCACCGGGATTGCACCATCCATCTCATCCAGGCCCCCCGCTTTTCCCTTCGAGCGCTCACTCAACGGTCGCGTCCTATCCCTCCCAGCCTCCGCACCACACACCTTTGGGACCGGGCACTCAGCATCAGCCTGCCGCGACGGGGCCTCTCTGTCCGCTCCCCGGCCAGGGTCCTCCTCTCATCCAGCCTCAAGGACCAAACAGTATTCCGGCACCTTCCGCGCCAGGGTTCTGCCCTCATCCGGGCCCGGTCTCTCTTCCTCATGGTGTGCAAGGACCTCAGCAGGCATCTCCTGTGCCTGGGCAAATCCCCATCCACAGAGCACAGGTGCCGCCAACATTTCAAAACAATTACCATGGTTCAGGGTGGCATTAAAAAAGGGCCCCTTGCTTTTAAACATTTTAAAAATGTTCTGTAAAAACTGTATATTTCATATGTACCTGTTCAAGGTACTTTTTAAAGCTTGTACATGATAATAACTTTGTAAAAAAAAAAAGCAAACACCAGTGCGCGCGCGCTCTCTCGCATTGTATTTTTTTCCATTTTTGCTTTGAAAAATTCCTGAACCTGTGCTGTCGAGCCAGGATTAGGTATTTTTTTATTTTGTACGTGAACATTCCAGCTGTTTGTTCTGGCAGTAGATTTGATGCTGCATAACTTTAAATTTTATTGTTGCAGTTAAAATTCATTTAGTGAATGTTTTCTATATTTACTTTTTATACATATGTAATTAAAGTACACGGCTAAGTGATGGCACTAACAGGTTTTTCATCTGTCAGCGGTTTTTGTGTGCATATAGATAGAAAATGCAATACAGATTTTTATAGTTTTGTGTGGACATGGCTCTTTTATTTCAACAGTTATTTGCAGACATTGTAATTTAATGTATAGATTGTTTCTAATGTCTCTGACAAGTGCTGTAAATACTATTTCTTTTGCGTGTAAAACTGCTTAATGCTTCTCATTTGATATAGTATTGTACATACAAGTCTTTTGCAAAAGCGTGTGATCTTTGTGGAAGTAGTACAGTATATGAACTTTAATTTTTTTAATATACTGTCACATTGCAGCACTGGTTGGGCATTTTAATTCATGTTAATAAATCACAATTATGTCAGTTTTAACAACTTGTCTTTGTAGGTTGCTGTTTAAAGATAATAATAATGAAATAAGTGTCATAATTATGCCATTCTGTGGAACAGTTCTTAAAGATTATTATCTACAGAACTATATAGGGTGTAGAAGACCAGCTCTCCCTCAGCTTCTGCAATTCTGCAGGATTATGATCTAGTAAACAGCAGAGTTCTCATTATAGTCTCTGGCACCGAACTGCTGATGCTATAGTCCATCTAATACATAAAAAGGGATCAGCAGCTGATGATAGCACTACATTCACGGTAAAGTAAAAAATTACCGCATCATCATCTAGGGCCACTCTTACAGAATCTGATGACACTATACTAGGTCATGTGAATCTCTTGTCAAGCAATTGTGGAAATTTGTTAAGTTTGTTTACACAAGGTACTTATAACTGGCAGTATTTTGAAATGTAACATTACTGTTGTGAGGTAGGTATTTTAAAAGGAATATGGGAAGGTGCTGTAGGAGACACATCTGTATACAAATCGTATCTACTGAAATGGATCTACGTGACAAATCCCATCTATTTATAATGGACAACTTAACACATAACATCTGCAGCTTCTGCAACATGACAAAATTTGCAAAATCCAATGCATCGTCGAAGGCTTTCATGGCCGGAATCACTGGGTTGTAGGTTTTTTCGGGCTATAATGGCCATGTTCTAGAGCAGTGTTTCTCAACCTTTCTACAACCTTAATACAGTTCGTCATGTTGTGGTGACCCCCAACCATAACATTATTTTCACTGCTACTTCACAACTGTAATTTTGCTACTGTTATGAATCATAATGTAAATATCTGGCATGCAGGATGTATTTTCATTTACTGGACCAAATTTGGCACAAATACGTGATACACCCAAATTTGAATCCTGGTGGGCTTGGAGGGGGGATTGATTTTGTCATTTGGGAATTGTAATTGCTGGAATTTATAGTTCACCTATAATCAAAGAGCATTCTGAACTCCAGCAACAATGGAATTGAACCAAACTTAGCACACAGAACTCCCATGACCAACAGAAAATACAGGAAAGGTTTGGTGGGCATTGACCTTGAGTTTTGGAGTTGTAGTTCACATATACCAAGAGTACTGTGGACTCCAACAATAATGGATCTGACTAAACTTGGCATGAATACTCTAAGTGCCAATATGTGAACACTGATGGAGCTTGGGGAAAATAGATCATAACATTTTCATTAACTGGACCAAATTTGGTACAAATATGCAATATGCCCAAATTTGAATCCTGGGGGGACTAGAGAGGGGATTGATTTTGTCATTTGGGAGTTGTAGTTGCTGGGGTTTATAGTTCACCTACAATCAAAGAGCATTCT